TCTCCATATACATATTATGAAATTAATCTTTCCATTTATTTGAATTCTTATTTTATGTGCAGCACCAATTATATGCTATGATTTTTGTGTATCTTTTTGGTGGTCATGGTGGTGAAGGATGTTTATTTCTAACCACTCTTTTCTTTCCAGTTGTTCAACTTCTATATTTTATATAGATCTCACAGAGGTGAATACACTGTCAAATTTTAGCATTTTTCCCTCTGGACATTTAACACATGCTCATTCTTTCAGATAAAATTTAGAATTATTTCACCAAGTTTCCTATTGGGATTTCAACAATTAAGAATGCATTTTATTAGTTTCACACTTTTCTCCAAGTTTAGTATGTTACCAGCTATTTCAACATTTTGTTGATATTTTTGTTGATATTATGAACAAATATGCAACAAATATAAACATTATGAGGGCATTTGATGCTCTTACTGACACCAGAGAGTGTCCATGTGGGAAGTTATGTGAGCTGAGACCTGAGGCTATAGAAACCAGAGGAAGAGAGAATTATGCTCCTCGCAGGGGGAATTTCTGAGTCTGGTTATTTGCTAGGAGACAAATGCTAAAAATCGATGGAGCACCAGAGAACAGAGGATGAATATTCAGGCTACTGAGAGCCATGAAACCCACATTTAGGACTATGGATTACAAACAATGCAGAGCTCTACAGAGTGTTGAGAGGTACTGGATTTATAGGAACAGATTTGCAGATATGTTATTCTTAAGGCACTGCTGTGTTTAATGACTAATATTAACTTGGGGAATTTTAATCTACAAGTGAGAGTTGTTTATAATTATAGGGCAGTGGTGGTTTTTTTTTTTTCAGGTTCTCTGGTATTTTAATGAATGATGTATCTGTAATTTTATTTATTGGGTTTTTCCTATATAATAGAATCACTTTATTTTTTTTTTAAGTTTTTATTTAAATTCCAGTTAGCTAACATACAGTGTAATATTAGTTTCAGGTGTACAGTTTAGTTATTCAACACTTCCATAAACACCCAGTGCTCACCTCACAACAAGTGCATTCCTTAATACCCATCACCTATTTAACCCATCCACCCAGCCACCTCCCCTCTGGTTCTCTATAGTTAAGAGTCTGTTTCTTGGTTTAAATTATATTCCATATATACTTAAGTCACTCGCTTTGTTACATCTTTTAAGTCTATATCTTCCATTTTTGTACCTCTTCTGATTTGCTTTCTTAGAGTGAAACTACACTTTAAAAGCGGGGGTTTTATCTATTACATTGTTGCAAACAAACAATTGTTTTCTATCTAATCTCATTATATGCTTTTTTTTTTTTACCTCCTGCACTGTATAATGTATTTTTCTTCATATTTTTCAGTGTTTTAGAATGCGCACACACACACATTCTTGTGTCTCATTCTAATACTAGTACTGATTAATTGCTCTTTTCCTTATAGTTTTCTTTTTGAGTCATGAGTTTAAAAAAATCTATCTTTCCTCACTCATTAATTAAAAGAAAAATGTTAGACTTTTGGTGATTGTATATTCATTTATCACTGGTTCCTTCCACTAGAATATTTTTTCCAAGAGAGAACACTGTCAATGTATCTTCAGCTCCTAAACCAATGGATCACAATACATAGTTAAATGAAAAAAAAAGAATTAATGCAGGCTTTCTGGTGTTCCCTAAATTTCAATGTAAATGAAATCTGTTTTTTATGTAGATAATTTGCATTCAATTTTCCGACCTGCATATATATATATAATTGTTGTTAAGAGTTATTTTTAATTATATGCAATTTTGCAATCATATTTACACTCTTTTTAAACAAATATACTTAAACTGATTTCAGTGGTCATTATTAGTAACATTACACAGTTTCTGCTTTATTCCTACTTCTCAATTTTTTTCATCTACAGAAATATCTGGATCTATCTTAGCGTTTATTTCTCACAACATATCTCAGAATGTCTTCCTGGGTCATTCACATATTACTGACAACTCATATATACCTAATAATATTGACAATAACCCTTATTAAACACTTAGCACATTCTGTGCATGGTCTGAGAAATTTATGTTTATTAACTGGTGTAGTCCTGGAGACATGTGTCAATCCTGGCATTACAGAGCTGATGGGAAACCTAAGGCAAAAACAAGATAAGTAAATTGACAGTGGTCACACATCTAGGTACTGAAGAAAGAACCAAACCCAGGAAAACTCTGGCTCTGGAACACTCACTTTTTTTTTTTTAATTAACATATAATGTATTATTTGTTTCAGAGGTAGAGATCTGTGATTCATCAGTCTTACACAATTCACAGCACTCACCATAGCACATACCCTCCCCAGTGTCTGTCACCCAGGCACCCCATCCCCCCCACCACTCCAGCAACCCTCAGTTTGTTTCCTGAGATTACGGTTTGTCTCTCTCTCTGGTTTCATCTTGTTTCATTTTTCCTTCCTTTCCCCTATGATCTTCTGTCTTGTTTCTCAAATTCCTCATATCAGTGAGATCATGTGATAATTGTCTCTCTCTGGAACACCCACTTTTAATTCCAACATCACATGTCTTCTGTTTTGGACATTTCTTCCCTTTTATTTGGTTTTTATCATTATCAAAAAGACATTTGTGGCCAGTCTGAATTTTATTTTGTTGTAAGTGACTGTTTTTCTCCTTTCTTTTATTCCATCTGTATGCTTCTAGATTTTTTTGTACTTCTTTACTTCCTGCTTGTCTTTCCTCTATTTCTCCCTTCCTTCCTTCTTTTTTTCCTTCCTTCCTTCCTCTTCTCCTCTTCTCCTTCTTCCTCTTCTTCCCTTTTCATATTGCTTTCACCTCGATAATTTGCAAGGACATACATAAGTGTATGTATCATTTATTACGGAAAACATCCATACACACAGTCTGTTCCTTTCCCAACAGTTTTCTTCTTTTCAACTTGTTAATAATTCTCTTATATTTGTGGAAGCACTCTTTTCAAAGCCACTGATTATTTATACTTTAAGTTTGTATTGCCATTATCCCATATCTATTACTTTGTTTCTTATCATTTAATCTCTGTGCTTGTATGTTTCCAGGGAGCTACTCAAATTTTATTCCCCACAGTTGTGATACAATTTCATATCATCAGCACTGTTCTTCCCTGCCTTTCCTATAATTTCTCACCCTGGTACCATAGTTTTAGTTGTCCTGGGTAGCTTTCTCTTTCCCTTTCAGGGATTAGTGTATTAATCTATGTGTTTCTCCTCTCCTTAAAAGTCCTTAGCTTTACTTGGTCTCCTTGGCTTTTCTGTGGGCTCCTTCTGATTTTAGCTCATCACTAGGAACTTAGCAAATATGCTGGTACCTCTTTCTAGAGGATCCCCACTCTGGACATACAGAAGCCAAATAAACAACCATCTCCTCCCCACTCCTCAACACACAATCCATTCAGCCTGTCTAAAATTAACAAGCAAAACTGTACAATTATGTTTTAATTTTTGTTGAAAGATTAGGAAAAAGTTAGAGAAAATATTAGATTTCTAGTTAGCTTACTTGTATTTTCCATCATTTGTGCATGTTTCCCACTTTCCTGAGTCAGGTCTCCAGTTCACTCTGTTGAGACTGTTCCTCTAAGCACCTCTCTTGTAGGCATTTTGGCAAAACTCTACTCCTCTTCTAAATAATTACATGAGGAAATTATTTCTGGGGTGTGGGGATGAAGATGGGAAAGCAGAATCTACCCCAGAGTAGATAATGACTCAGAGAGAGGCAGCCAGTCCTTTGTCTGAGTGGATCATTACTTGTCAGCCTCCTGTAATTTGGTGGGCAAAACTGGACAGATCTTTCCAAACCAGGTAATGACTAGTGTCCATCTTTTTATTTGTCAACATTGTTGAGAGGGAATTATTTTTTCAGCTTCAAAGTATATTAACTAACTGGAATTAAAATTTAAAAAAAAAACTCAATAAAAGTAAATAGAAAGAAAAAAAAGTAAATTTGAGCCAGGCTATGTGGGGAGTTTGCAGACACCTTCAAATTATTTTTTTTAATATTCTGGTTGTTCATGCAAAGGTAATTATTACCTAGTGTCTTATTCCTCAGTGATTAATCTGAAAGTGAAATTTAGAAATGAAAATCTTTCTGGAATGAGTTTTTCCAGAAACTAGTTTGCACAAGTCCCAACCTCTCACTGAGAATTCCCACAAATGACAATCATTAGTGTGATCAAGAAGAATGTTCTGAAAGTCTATCATTTTAAGTAATTTGGAAGACAGTGCATGGAAGGATTGGGTAGTATGTGTTCCATGGGTTGTAACTAAGAAATGAAATGTTCCCACAGCAACAAATTGTGAGTATTCATAACACCAGAATAATCCCCCACCACAGTAGCTTATGCTAGATTAGCAATTAAATATATTTAACTATATAATTAAATATAATTAATATATAATTAAATATATATTAACATTTGCATAAATAATATGATATTTAATCATTACAGCAACACATAGGGTTTCTGTGATGACCTTTTTTTTTTTTAAGATTTTATTTATTTATTTGAGAGAGAGAGCGAGAGAGGGAATACAAGAGGTGGAATGGGAGAGGGAGAAGCAGGCTTCCCATGGAGCAGGGAGCCCGATGCTGGGGCTCGATCCCAGGACCCTGGGATCATGACCTGAGCCGAAGGCAGACGCTTAACGACTGAGCCACCCAGGCGCCCCTGTGATAACCTTTAATAAGGATAGTAGAACTGACACCATAAAGACCCCTTACTCCAAACTGCTGTTCCTGGCCCAGGACACTGCCTCCTAATTCCACACACATATAGCTGCATCACCTGCCTCTTTCCACGGTACAATAGCTCAGTACATGCAATGGGTAAAATAATTTTCCAATAATTGAAAAATTATATTTGGCCTTGGAAGAATGGCAAAACTAGTGAAGAATTTGGGGGAGGATTCTCTTATTTTCATTCTATATAAAAGATGCAAATGTATTACCAGTCCTTATACTCTCTGAGACCTTGCAGGATGTCCTGTTGCCCTTTAACCTATGTAGTACTTCAGGTACCCTTTATTCGGGTATCATGCCTAAGGCTTATGACTGACCATATCAGGATGCTCTTGAGAGTAAAGCAAAAGGGGAGGAACACATGCTAAAACAACTGGGATCCTGGGACAGGAGGCACAACCGAGACTGCCCCAGAATTACCTGGATGGGAGTTCCCCTCCTGTAAATCTTACCAAGTCCACAAAAATGCAAAATCAAGTGGAAAAAAATCATTAGCTCAGATATACAAAAGGGAAACAAACAAACAAACAAAAACAACAGAGTGAACGTTTGTTTAAATTCTCAAAAAATATTACAAGTTGTCAACTAACCTCAATTCTGCTGATAATATTTAGAAAATAATTTGACTTCCTCACCTTGGCGTACATGCCTTAAAATCTGACCTCTGGCAACTCACTGCCCTCTCAATCACAAGGCTCTGCTTGAACTATCCTGAACATTAGCTCATTTCTGCCTTAGGGATTTTAAATTGATATTCATTCTGCAGGAACACCTTTCCCCCAAATCTTCACATGGATTCTCCTTTGCTACACTTCATTGCCTATGTTAAACTTTTCCTCATAGTATTGATGAGCATTATCCAGAACCATCATTGTCCTTTATTTGCTTACTCTCTTTATCTCACAACTAGAGCCATAAGTCACATGAGACACCTCCTCTTTTGTTTATAATAGTATCCATAGTGTGTGGAACACAGGAAACTCTCCATAAATAAAGGTTGGAGTGTGAATGATTAAAAAAATCAACAAATGAGTGAACAAACAAATAAGGTTGATTAATGATCAGATGGACAATGTTGTAATCCAATTTACTATAGCTCATAATTTTCAGCTGTATCAACAACTTAATAGTTATTTCTAGATGAGGCTGATCACTTTTATAGTTGTGACAAAAATTCCCAACTCAATAAAACATCTTAATAAATTGTTTGGTTATTTGAACTAACTCGATTGTTTTGCAGTCATATCCATGTTTCAGATAAAGGAAGTCAACTCCAGATGAAGAAGACTCTCTGGGGCTCACATGTTCTGCAGTAATAACTAAACTCCCTTAAACCAATCATCAGTTGCCAAATGTTCATTCATCTTCATGCCACGGAGACTCAACTTTCGAATTATTCTTCAACAAGAAGAAATATCCAAGAACGAAAAAGTTGCAAATATACCCTACAACATATACACACATACTAAAGGCTTAATATTAGTTATGTAAATAATTTTAATTTAATAATGCTTCTATAATAAGACATATTATATACTGGAACTTTCATTAACACCCCCACTTATTTCCTTATACCCCCAGGTCCAACTCAACACCATCGGTGGAGACAATAAAACCTTTTCAAGTGACTTCACCCTCACAGGGCTCTTCACTCAAAGTGCAGCCTCAGGCTTCCTTTTCAGCATCATCTGTGTCATCTTCTTCATGGCCATGATAGCTAATGGGGTCATGATCTTCCTGATTCACATAGACCCTCACCTCCACACCCCTATGTACTTCCTGCTCAGCCACCTCTCCTTTATTGACATGATGTACATCTCTACCATTGTGCCCAAGATGTTGGTCGATTATCTTGTGGGCAAGGGGACCATTTCCTTCATTGCCTGTACAGCCCAGTACTTTCTCTACATGGGCTTTGTGGGGGCTGAATTTTTCCTGCTGGGACTCATGGCTTATGACCGCTATGTGGCCATCTGCAACCCCCTTCGCTATCCTGTCCTTATGAGCCACCGGGTCTGTTGGGTGATCTTGGCCAGCTCTTGGTTTGGTGGTGCTTTGGACAGCTTGCTTCTCACCCCTATCACCATGAGTCTCTCATTCTGCAGTTCCCAAAAGATCAATCATTTCTTCTGTGAAGCGCCCACCATGCTGAGGCTGGCCTGTGGTGACAAAGCTGCCTATGAAATGATCATGTACATATGCTGTGTCATGATGCTGCTGATCCCCTTCTCTGTGGTGATTGCTTCCTATGCCCAGATTCTCATCACAGTGCACCAGATGAAGTCAGCAGAAGGGAAGAAGAAGGCCTTTGCCACCTGCTCATCACACATAATGGTGGTGGTGTTGTTTTACGGGGCTGCCCTATACACATATATGCTTCCCCAACCCTACCACACACCGATCAAAGACAAGGTCTTCTCTGCCTTTTACACCATTCTCACTCCTTTGTTAAATCCTCTCATCTACAGCTTGAGGAACACAGATGTAACCGGGGCCTTTAAAAGGGTTTTGGCAAGATGTCAAGGGGATCCTGGTGTGTCAAGGGAGGGATTCTGAAAGTCTAAGTCATCCACATCTGCTCAGGGGTACATGGGTGCTGTTATTCCGGGTTATACCATGGGTAATATGAAAAATGCATTCAGCAACTGCCAATGCCAATTACGTTGAAAGATGCATCAGCACTACTTTCGTCGAAAATGTGAAACCAATTGTAACATTCACACATGAATAATGCCAAAGTGCCTAAATACCGCTGATGTTTATTCCTTCTTTGTGTCCACCCATTCTGTTACTGGACTCAGTGGGTGCCTTTCCTCAGTGAGTGTAAGCCAATTGTACATCCAAGGCTTACACTCAGTCTGGTGTGGAAGCTTTTGTTTACTTACAGTAAGCAAGCAGAACACTGGAGATATTTCCTAAAGCAGTGTCTCTCCTGGGGATGGTGCAGTTAGCTTTTATTCAGTATGCAGAGGAGTCAGAGTCCAGAAGATCGCATATACACTAGGGAACTTACATATATCCTATTACTTAGGCATTCTAGTTTTACTGTGCATGCTTAGCATATACCACAAGTTCAAAAAATGGCCTAAGCTCTAACCCTGAGAGGAGATTTTAGTATTATAATGCACTAAAGTTAACTGTAGAGCAGTCTCAGGGGGCTTCTGCACATGCTTCAACTCTGACCTGTTTCAAACTGGTTTTGTGTTAGATTTCATATCTGTGCATGTCATGTCCTCTTATAAAGGTGTTGGTGCTTTGCCTTTTCATGTGGTTCTTCTGAGTTGGGTTCCTGAAAAACATCTTATAGAAATAACTTTACATACCACCTGGAGTGACCCTTTATGTTGGTTACAATTCCAGTTATTATCTCATACTATTTCTCTGATTGTAATTAATGTATATTTGATCCCAAATGTCTGGTTAATATTACATACTCTGCTCACTTTCAGTGTTCTCACAAGAATTAGTGATTTTTATTACGTTGTTTAAATGGTCCATTGGTGGAGTTTATAGAAGGGTTAGGTGTGCATACATTTGAAAGATATTTAAAAGATACTAAAATATCAAAACACTTCAAAGGGAATACTTAAATAGCCTCAGATATTTAGAAAATCCAGACATCCTCTCTTTAAGTAGCAACTGAAAACATTCTTCCTTTAGGTAAATTTGGAGCTGGAGAAAATAAACCATGCACTTTTGCAGAAATGCAGATTAATCCTCAATAGGTCAATTTTATGGTGTTATATTTGTTAAATGGTAAATAGTTATTACATCCAAAGACACTGAGAGATGGGAGAGAAAAAAGTGCTCCATTAATTCATAAATTCAGTAATCCTTTTTAAGTCTTCAATTCATTAAGATTTTTTTTTAAAGATTTTATTTATTTGACACAGAGAGAGAGGGAACACAAGCAGGGGGAGTGGGAGAGGGAGAAGCAGGCTTCCCACAGAGCAGGGAGCCCGATGAGGGGCTCGATCCCAGGACCCTGAGATCACGACCTGAGCTGAAGGCAGATGCCAAACGACTGAGCCACCCAGGTGCCCCAAGATTATTTTAATACTGTTTTTCTCATTTAACTTTATTTTTTAATTTAAATTCAATTAGCCAACCAATAGTACATCATTAGTTTCAGATGTAGTGTTCAATAATTCATCGGTTGTGTGTAACACCCAGTGCTCATCACATCAAGTCTCCTCCTTAATGCCCACCAGACAGTTACCCCATCCCCACCACCCTCTCCCTTCTATAATCCTCAGTTTGTTTCCCAGAATCCAGAGTCTCTCATGGTTGGTCTCCATCTCTGATTTCTTCCCATTCAGTTTTCCCTCCTTTCCCTTATTTGTTCTCCACACTGATCCTTATATTCCACATATGAGTGAAACCAGATGATAATTGTCTTTCTCTGCTTGACTTATTTCACTTAACAAAATACCCTCTACTTCCATCCATGTAGATGCAAATGGTGGGTATCCAACCTTTCTGATGGCCCAGTAATATTCCATTGTATGTATGAACCACATCCTTTTTATACATTCATCTGTTGAAGGGCATCTCAGCTCCTTTGACAGTTTGGCTATTGTGGACATTGCTGTTACGAATATTGGGGTGCATGTGCCCCTTCTTTTCACTATATCTGTATCTTTGGGGTAAATACCTAGTAGTGCAATTGTTGGGTTGTAGAGTAGCTCTATTAATAACTTCCTGAGGAACCTCCATAATGGGGAGGGAACTGATCCTGAAAACTGGGCATTTATTTCAGCTCCATTTTTTTTCTTTTTCTTTTCTTCTTTCTTTCTTTCTTTCTTTCTTTCTTTCTTTCTTTCTTTCTTTCTTTTGAAGTGAAGTGAAAGTTTATTAAGTGAAGGTGAGAGCAGAAAGGAAAGAAGAAGCTCTCTAGAGTGAGAGGGGTCCCAAGTGGGTTGCCATTGAGGGCTTCTAGTGACAGTTCGTTATTGAGAACTGACTGGGAAGCTTGTGGCCTTGAGTTTCTGGTGCCGCCTCGGTTTGAGTTTAGACTATTGCTACAGTGTAATCATGGAAAATGGCCAAACTTCAAAGAATTAAGTCATTAAGGATGTTATCCATAGTTCAGCTCCATTTTTTCAAGAAATTCTGTCCATCATTTAATGTCAGTGACACCCAATTTCTGTTTCTGTGAAATTTGAGCTAATATACGTTTTTCTTTGTAAGATTTTAAAGATTAAATATGAAAAATGTAACAAATTCTAGTACTATTTTAGCTATTCTTAACAAATGTAATTGCTTTTCATCTTCATTATATCTGTGCCTTTTCTCTTTTACTTACCCCAGATTCCATTTTCTATTCTTCACATAGATAAGCACACTCCCTTGTTAAGTATGCTAAGGTACAAAGGACTGATAATGGGTAAAATTAATATTCCAACTACAAGAATTGAAAATAAATTTTACTAGGGCAATTAGAAAAAGGATAAATAGGCATACTTTCAAAATGTAGCAATTAAAACAGTAAGTATATAGCACTACACACCTATTAGAATGGCTACAATCCAAAATACTGACAATGCCAAAAACTGGTGAGATACAATAACTGTCATTCATTGCTGGTGGGAATGCAAAATAGTACATCTACTTGAAAAGACAGTTTGGTGGTTTGTTACAAAACTAAACAGAGCCTTACCATACAATCTGGCAATTGTATTTCTCATGATTTATCCAACTGATTTGGAAACTTAAGTTTACACAAAAACCTGCAAGTGAATGTTTATAGCAGCTTTTTTCATAATCACCAAAAACTTAGAATTAATAAAAATATCTTTAGTAGGTGAATGGACAAACTACAGTACATTTAAACAATGAAATATTTTTTCTTTTTTTTT